TTTCCATTCTGAAATTGGAATTCTGAATTGGAAATTGAAATTTGAGATTGAAATTTTGAATGAAAATTAAAAATTGAAAACTTCAATTGAAATTTCGAATTAAAACTTTTAATATAAAATTGAAATTTGGAATTCAAATTTAAAATTGAAATTAAAAATTGCAATTAAAAATCTGAACTTGAAAATTGAAAGTTTTTATCTGCTGAATGGTAAAAAATGAAAAAAGTCATTCAAATTTTCTTGTTATTAATTTCCTAGTATCCCATCGAATTTCTATATATAATCATAATAATAATGCTTTCTCAAGCATGAGAAGCGAAAAAAAAATTTTCAGGAAAAACAAATTGGACAAAAAAATTTGAGAATACTAAAAAGAAGTTTCACTTCTGTCGCGCGTGGACTCCACGCACTCTGTTTTTTTATTAGAGAGATTAAGGGATGAAACTGGGGTTGCTGTATGGGGAATTTAATTCTCCATCGAACAGCATTGGTTTCATTCCTTAATGTTAATTAGGAGCAGAGATACGANATCGAACAGCATTGGTTTCATTCCTTAATGTCAATTAGGCGGGGAGAGACGATTTTTTAATTAGCGGGCGAGTTATCGGGAGTCACTGCGCCGAGAGACCATTCGGTTTTTCATTGCGCCGTGACTTTTGTCGCAGTTTTTATTTTTTTATTACAGAGATTAAGGGATGAAACGGGGGTAGCTGGATGGGGAATTTAATTCCCCATGGAACAGCATTGGCTTCATTCCTTAATGTTAATTAGGAGCGGAGAGACGATTTTTTGATTAGCGGGCGAATTATTGGGGTGGCACTCCGCGCCGAGAAACCAATGGGTTTCTCGTAGCACCGTGACTTTCGTCGCAGTTTCAATTTTTTTATTCCAAAGATTAAGGGATGAAACGGGGATTAATAGATGGGGAATCGAATTCTCCATCGAAAAGTCCTTGTCTCATCCCTTAATATTAATTAGCGGGCGAATGAATTGTGGAGGTGAGCAGGTTATTAATGAAAACTCAGAGATCCAACGTTGAGCGAAATATATTTGAGTTTTGAACGTTAATGTTTACAGGAGTGAAGAATTAGTCGTAAGAAGACTTGTCCTCTCTGTCGATGTATTGTCCAGTGGTTGAGTGATGAGTGAGTATCGAGTGAATGATTGACTGATGATGAATGTGGAAAGTGTCTGGTATTTAAGGAGAGCGCAAGGATGTGATTGGTGGAAAATTTGGAGAAGGGATGAGTAAAATCCTGGCTTCCGATTGGTTCGGCGCTGTAAGTTCCCGCCGGTGAGCTGTGATTGGCTCGGGGGTCTCGGCGGGGAGATTTCCGCCGTGACGTCACGGGCGCCGGTCAGGCGGACGAGGGATTATTGACGCCAGGTGATGTAGTGGAGACACACTCCCCACAGTACCCCCCTGCCAGTGATTTGGATCACGATAAGAGTGATGTGTGAATGTGTCATGTGTGCATGTGTAAGGTCATTGAAAATATTTACAAGAATCCGGCCTGGTAGCGCTCGGCGAATCTAACGCGTCTTCCTGAGCCCGTTGTCGGGGGTGTCGTTTCTGGTGGTGGTGGCTGCACTGGCTGCGATGGTACCTCAGGCTCGGGAGTCGGTGTCCTTGGGCTGGGGTGCTGAAAGCCTGGCTCGTCATCAGCGATGACGTAAGCCGGTTTCAGCCTGTCGATGGAGACGTTCACATCCTTGCTTTTGATGTGGACGATGAACGCCTTCGTGTTGCGGTGAATGACCTTGAAAGGTCCTTGGTAGGGCATCTGGAGAGGTCCTTTTGGAGCGTCGTGCCTGACAAAGACTTGTTCCGCCGTGGCCAGATGCTTGAACACGAAGGTTTTGTGTTCTCCGTGGCGTTTGAACTTGGCGGGGCGCAAGTCGGCGAAGTGCTGGCGTAGGTCCTTCACGTAGTCCGCCGGATCGTCTTGGTGGCTGACTCCTCGAGGGGCGAGAAACTCTCCAGGCAGACGAAGGGGTTCGCTGTACGCCAGCTCGGCTGCTGATGCCTGGAGATCCTCCTTCCAGGCTGCCCGAATTCCCAAGAGAATGGTGGGGAGCATTTGTGTCCATCTGGAGTTATCGTGGCACTTGATGGCTGCCTTGAGATGTCGGTGGAGGCGCTCGACCATTCCGTTGGCTGCTGGGTGGTAGGCAGTTGTCCTCAAGTGAGACGTACCTGCCAAGCTGTTGAGATGCTTGAACAGATGTGACTCAAATTGCCGCCCTTGATCGGTGGTACTACGAAGGGGAACACCGAAGTGGCATATCCACCCCTCGTAGAAGGCTCTGGCAACAGTGTGAGCTTCCTGGTCCTCCAGTGGGAATGCCTCAAGCCATCGGGAGAAGCGGTCGACGCATGTGAGGCAGTATCGGCGGCCCTCCGAGCTGGAGAGGATGATGAGGTCCATGTGGACGTGCTCGAACTGAGATGATGGTGCTGCGAACGATCCCACTGGAGCTGATACGTGACGTGTAACTTTGGCTTGCTGACACTAGATGCACGAGCAAGCCCACTCGCGACAGTCTGCCTTGATGGATGGCCAAACGTAGCGTTGTGTCGCCAGTTTGACCGATGCGTTGATCCCTGGGTGAGCCAGACTGTGGATGGTGTTGAAGGCTGCTTTGCGGAATGATGGTGTCAGGAATGGCCTTGGTGATGATGATGACATATCACAGAAGACAGCTACGCCTGCTCCTGGGATCTGAACTTGCTTGAGTTGCAAGCCAGACCCTGTGCGTAGGAATATCTTCAGCTCCTTGTCATCGTGCTGTGATGCGGCCAGGGCCGTGTAGTCCAGGGGCAGCGTGACTTCCTCGATGCGGCACAGTGCGTCAGCGACGACGTTGTCCTTGGCCGAGACGTGGCGGATGTCAGTGCTGAACTGACTAATGAAGTCGAGATGACGGGACTGCCTGGGTGATGACTTCTCTGGCTTCTGGCGGAATGCGAAGGTGATGGGTTTGTGGTCGGTGTAGATGGTGAACGTCCTGGCTTCTAGCATGTGCCTGAAGTGTTTGATGGCTAGGTAGATTGCGAGGAGTTCACGGTCGAATGCGCTATATTTTCTCTCTGCTGGGCTGAGTTTCTTGGAGAAGAAAACTAGCGGCTCCCAGTCTCCGTTGATTTGTTGCTGCAACGCTGCGCCCACGGTGTGGTCGGAAGCATCGCAGATGAGTGCGAGCGTGGCGACGGCCTTGGGGTGAGCCAGGAGTGCAGCGTCTGCGAGGCTGATCTTGCAGGTGGTAAAGGCTGCTTGAGCTTCCGGAGTTCAGTTGAGGGGCGTTTTTCCTCTGATGTTCCCCTCTAGAAGCCGTTGAGTGGGGCCTGGTCCTGAGCAGTTCTGGGTATGAATCTCCGGTAGAAATTCAGCATACCCAAGAACTGGCGAAGCTGTTTGGCTGTCTGAGGTGTTGGGTAGTCCAGGATGGCTTGGACTTTCTTGGGCAGCGGCCGAGTGCCCTCCTTGGATACCAGGTAGCCCAGGAACTCCACTTCTGGCTGGCCGAGGACGCACTTCTGTGGATTGATGAGGAGGCCATACGACTGGAGTCGCTCGAACAGGATCCTGAGGTGTTGGAGGTGCTGCTCTGGAGTTTCCGACACTATCAGGATCTCGTCGATGTAGGCGTAACAGAAATCCAGGTCCCGTAGTACCTCGTCAATGAAGCGTTGGAACGTCTGGGCTGCGTTGCGTAGACCGAACGATATGTACGGGAATTCGAACATGCCGAATGGTGTAGTGATGGTCGTCTTCTGGATGTCCTCCTCAGCAACAGGGATTTGGTGATATGCTCGGACCAAGTCGATCGTTGAAAAGATCTGCTTGCCCCGGAGCGTCTGGAAGAAGTCCTGGATGTGGCGAACGGGATAGCGGTCTGGAACTGTGCGTGCGTTGAGTGCACGGTAGTCTCCACAGGGTCTCCACTCGTCGTTCTTTTTCTTCGCCATGTGTAGTGCTGATGACCATGTGCGTGCGTTGAGTGCACGGTAGTCTCCACAGGGTCTCCACTCGTAGTTCTTTTTCTTCGCCATGTGTAGTGCTGATGACCATGGGCTGTTTGAAAGTCGAGCAGTGCCAAGTTCAACCATGGCGTGGAATTCCTTCTTGGCATCTGCGAGTCAGTCCGGAGCCAGTCGTCTGGGTTTGCTGTTGACCGGTGGTCCTGGTGTGGTCTGGATGTGATGCTTGGTGCTGTGCTGCGGAGGTTTGCCCGTCCCGTCTGGTCTGGTGAGGTTGGGGAACTGCTGGAGAAGCTCGTGGTACTGCGATGTACCTGTCACCGTCTTGATGTTCGGCAAGTCAACAGCTTCGACTTGACCGAGTGAGGTGAGTGAGGTGAGAGAGTCCACGAGCCTTCCGTTGCATGGATCCACCATCAGTCCGTAGTGGAACAGGAAGTCCGCTCCGATGATGGGCTTGGAGACATCAGCGATGACGAAACGCCAAGGAAACGTCCGCCGAAGTCTCAGGTTGAGTGCGATGTTGATGGTGCCGTAGGTAGGGATGACTGTGCCGTTCGCCGCCAATAGCTCGTATGTGGATTTACGCTGTGGCCCACGTACAAGTCGCCGCGGGAGGACGCACAGGTCTGCTCCGGTATCGATCAGGAAGCGCACCTTGGTCTCCTGGTCGGTGATGAAGAGGCGGCGGGTCGTTGATCTTGAGTCACTAGCCGCCATTAGTGACTGTTTGTCCCGTTTTTCGAGGCAGTGAAGTTGCACGGCTGTGTGCAGGTCCTGGCGCTGGGTCCGAACTTCCAGTGGTACCAGCAGGGGCCCTTGATCTCTGCCTGCCGGTGCTTCGAACGTGACTTGGATCTGCCATGCCTGAATCCCCGTCCTGGATTTCCCCCGTCAGCTCTGCTCAACCGTTTGAAGCTCTCGATTTCGCCTCGCATCGAGTTGAGTTTCTCGTCGAGGGTGAGAGAGAGTTGGAAGAGCTTGAGACTCAGGAGTGCCTCGATGCTGTGGACAGATGTCTCGGCAATCTGTGGGGCGACTACTGGGATCCTTGGCTTTAGGATCTGGAGGGTCTTGTCGGCGAGTTCTGCGGCGTCCTCGAGACTGGCGCTGCGTTGTGTGACCAACAACGCCAGGGCGTCAGATGGAATGCGTGTGACCCACAGTGTCCGGAGGGTGTCGTCGGAGAAGCTGGATCCTGCCAGGCTCTTAAGGTGGCGCAGAAACTGAGACGGTTTCATGTCTCCCATCTCTGCGCTCTCCAGGAGTCTCCTTGTCTTCTCTTCCTGAGAGGAGCTGAGGCGTTTTATTAGCTCCGTCTTCAGGTGTGTGTAGGGGTTGTCGGCTGGAGGGTTGAGGATGATGTCTCTCACCTCGACGGTGTGCTTTGACTTGGAGAGCTTGCCACATATGTGTGCGAACTTGGTCGCCTTGGAGGTGATGCCGGCCGCATGAAAACCGCGGTCAGCGATACTGAAGAATAGCTCTGGATCCTCCGGGGTGAACTCTCCTAGCTGGAGAGCTACCCGGCTGATCTGCGCCATTCCCTCTACCAAGAGGTTCTGCTGCTGTTCTGGAGTCATTGCTGGCTGCGATGGAGGTGAGACGGGGTTGGCCGTGTCAAATAGAGCTGCTGGTGGCACGTTCTGCTGCTGCTGCTGTAGTGAACCGTCGCCTCGCTGCAAGATCATCGAGTCCTCTGAGTTGCCGACTGCTCGATGTCCACGATTCCAATTTCTGATCACGTCGGGGTCACCAATTTGTGGAAGTGAGCAGGTTATTAATGAAAACTCAGAGATCCAACGTTGAGCGAAATATATTTGAGTTTTGAACGTTAATATTTACAGGAGTGGAGAGTTATTCGTAAGAAGACTTGTGCTGTCTGTCGATGTGTTGTCCAGTGGTTGAGTGATGAGTGAGTGTCGAGTGAATGATTGACTGATGATGAATGTGGAAAGTGTGCGGTATTTAAGGAGAGCGCAAGGATGTGATTGGTGGAAATTTCGGAGAAGGGATGAGTAAAATCCTGGCTTCCGATTGGGGCGGCGCTGTAAGTTCCCGCCGGTGAGCTGTGATTGGCTCGGGGGTCCCGGCGGGGAAATTTCCGTCGTGACGTCACAGGCGCCGGTCAGGCGGACGAGGGATTATGGACGCCAGGTGATGATGAGGGATTAGGACGCATGGAGGATTATGGCAATAAACGGGTCATGAGGTTTATGACACGGAAATGGATTTTTAATTCGGGAATTGGCCCAATGTCTCGACAGGAAAATTGGAGAATTGGCCCAATGTCTAAAGAGGAAAATTGAGTGTGTGTATGTGTTTGCGTGTGTGAATGACAGAGATGTAGTGGAGACACAGTCACCACAGAATCAACGGAAAAACATAAAGTAAACATTGAGGACGAGGAGGACATGAACCCCCCTTCGAACCTACCCCTGTGACAGCGTGACTGCTATAGGGCTTCNCACGGAAATGGATTTTTAATTCGGGAATTGGCCCAATGTCTCGACAGGAAAATTGGAGAATTGGCCCAATGTCTAAAGAGGAAAATTGAGTGTGTGTATGTGTTTGCGTGTGTGAATGACAGAGATGTAGTGGAGACACAGTCACCACAGAATCAACGGAAAAACATAAAGTAAACATTGAGGACGAGGAGGACATGAACCCCCCTTCGAACCTACCCCTGTGACAGCGTGACTGCTATAGGGCTTCTAGCAGAAGTTTTCCTTGCCCAGGGTACCTCCACTCTACGTAATTCCCACTCATATGCTTGTCCCCCACTCCAAAAATCCATGGATATTCTTCTTCTGGCCCTACTGCCGAGTTACTGGCACAGGCAGCTCGCCCAGCCGTCAGAATCGACCGTGGCGCCCCACCTCTGTTGGGGTCTCACTTATTCTGGCTGCGACTACTGTCGACTTGACCGACCCCGTTGGGATGTCGACACTGCCGCCATCTCCCGGCATTCCCCCTACGGGACTTGTATTATCATTATATACACTCACATTAATTTTAATCAATTAATAGAAAACAATGTTATAAACAGTGCAAATATAAACTAATAATTCGTCTATCCACTTTTATTGTATTTTCAGATATCATTTCCCCCTTTGTAGCCCCAGAAAATGACAATCCTAATAGCCACGTAACAGCCACGCAAATACCGTGGCTGTAACGTGGCTCCTGGATTCCCAGGGCTTGACAGATATTTTTATAAAAACATTTGTTTTGTTTTTTATTTTGAAGATATCACTTATGTTGTTGAAATAATTACAAAAGTTTCATCTTGTTCCTCGCATCCCACCGTAACCTAATTTAGGTCACTGTCCCCACGAATATACTATATATAGACAGTATTCCTGCCAAATTTCATTGCCTCATGATTTTTTGTTTCTGAGATAATGACTACCAAACTTTAAATTTTCAAAAATTCATAACTTTCGCATGGCGCATCCGATTCGAACAAATAAAAGAAGAAAACTTTTTGTTTTCGTTCGTACTTTCAGGAAAAAAATATTCCATAGGCGTGAAGAAGCTTCTACACCTCAATTTCGATGAATTTTTAGGTTTTCATTTTTTTTCGACTCCAGGGCCGTCCGGTATTCGACTGGAATATTTTTTTTCTCATAGAGGACATCCATATATGATGTAAAAAAAAACGCCATCGTGAGAGAGACAACCAGTGTACCGGAGAAAATTTTTTTTTCATAAATTTTCGCGTTTATACACCTTCTAGGAGAGCTGCCTCGTTTTTATTGAGAAATTGATATTTCAATCCATTCCTTTGATGAATATGGATTAGAAAAGAGATGCATCACGATGGAAAAGAGAAACAATGCGTAGGAGAAAAAATTTTCATTAAAATTTTTGCGTCTTTTCGCTTTCTATGAGAGCAATACTGTGTCATCATCATCGGAAGTTCGCCTAATCATGACCAAACAAATGAGAAAAGAAAACAAAAAGAATCAATTCATTGATTTAATATCATCAGTTTTTCCTAAGGCTCTAGTTTTAGTGAAAACTTCAACTTCCTCATTGAGTTTTCATCGTTGTACAATTCCTTGCGAATCGATTCGCATTTTCCTGTCTGTTGTATCCAGGTAAGCAGTTTTCACGTTACTTATTGGAATAGTCCTTATTTTCCGGATCATTTTGGATTTAATTTGATAATTTTGCACTTCATAGAATGCCGCGAAGTGATAGGTGTGCGAATCCGATGCGGATTCCTGTTCAGAAGGGACACAATGGTTTGGATTTGCGGCCCATTTCCTCGGCAATACACAAGAAGTTTCCCTTTCTACCAAAGTCTGCGAAAATCTGTGTGCCGGAAGATGGCCCCGAATTATGTGATTCCACCCGTTTCAATGGTGAATCTTCATGATACACATCTTCGATGTTCGGACACCCCATCCGAGATATCGAAGCCCCAAGCCGAAACACCCGAACCAAGCCCAGATGTGATGAACAGGTCTCTGAGATCAGGTCGGTCTCTCCATCTCGACGATTCCGGCATTTCAATCGATGAAGAAGCGGACAATATACCTGAATTTTCCAGTTCCCCCATACATTCTGATGTGGAAGATACCAAAGTGACGCTGATCCTTCTTTATCAAAGCGCTGTCGATCTTCGAGAAAAATAGAATTAGAAGAAATGCTGGATGGTCTCAAGAAAAAATTCAATGATCTGGAAAAGTACGGTGAGCGCTTGCAAAGCGAGCGAGCGGGAAATCGCTTCTGAGAGAAATCAAAGGAGTATTTGCCTCACCAATTGCGAAAGGAGGCCATTCACTTCCAAAATAAACGGTCGAGAAAGTACACAAATTTTATCTAGAGAATAGTCGTGTCATGCCAGGGATGAAAGATAAAGTATCCGTCAAAATCAATGGAGAGAAGAAAGGAAAGCAAAAGCAAATGATACTCGAAAATCTGAAACACCTTCATTGGAAGTACAAAAATACTCATCCAGAGGCTTTGGTTGGTTTCAGTAAGTTCGCTGAGCTGAGACCAAAACAATGTGTACTGACGGGAGCAAATGGCACTCATGTCGTATGTGTTTGCACGTATCATCAAAATTGCAAATTGATGCTCGAAGCCATCAACATTGCCACTCTAACTAAAGATTCCCCCTGTCCACTCAAGGATTACAAAGATTATCAACTGATGTGTACAAATCCCACCCCGGCCTGTTATCTGAATGAATGTAACGACTGCCCTCGGGTGAAACCCTTCTCATGTGAATTGAAGAAGCTCCTTTCTGATTCTGTTGTCGAAACTGTCCCATGTCGCGTGTGGCAAACCACTGACAGGTGTACTTTGCAGACACAAACGCTTCCGATGGATGACTTCGTCGATCTTCTTGTCGAACGATTAAAAGTATTAAAACCCCATCACTTCACTGCTAAAGAACAATCAGCTTTTGTTGAAGATCGAAAAGAGAATTTGAATAACAGCGAAGTACTAGTGCACTGTGATTTTCAGAAAATTATGCCTTTGGGGCTCAAGATGCTGCTCAATCCTGCTATTGCAACAATGACCAATGTACAGTCCATCGCGTTGTTTACTACTATCGCGAAGAAAACGAGATCCAACATCGGAGTTTAGTTGTTTTGTCAGATAGTACTACTCACGATACCGCAGCTGTTTACTTGGTACAGAAAATTCTAATGCAACATGTGAAGAATAACTACAAAGATGTGAAGAGAATCATCTATGTCACCGATGGAGCTGCACAGCATTACAAGAATCGTAACCAAATGGCTAATCTTCTGCATCACAAGACTGATTTTGGAATAGATGCAGAGGCCCCTTTCCATGCGACCGCACACGGTAAAGGAGCTTGTGACGGTGTGCGTGCTGTTTTCAAAAGAGAAGCGAGACGTAGAAACTTGCAAATCGTCCATGATGAACCCATCCTGACGCCAGATGCTTTGTTTCGATGGTCAAAAGAGAATTTCAAAGGAATTGATGGGTTTTTTTTCACCAAGGACGAACATAAGAATATAAAAACTGAATTGAGGGAAAGATTTGATAGTGCCAAAGCTATTCCAGCCATTCAAAAATACCATTGTTTCATTCCAAAACCGGGAGAGCAATTGTTAATGAAACGATGTTCAGCTGCAGAAAACCGAGAAGTTTTTCTGAAAAGAAAACAAACAACAACAACAAAACGGAAAGCAATTGGAAAACAGTAATCGTGATGAATAGATGTATAGTAAATCAGTGGAATTAGGCAAGTGGTAGTTGGAGATGGTAAATAATAGCCTCTTATTGTAAAAATGTAAAAAGGTCGTTACAGTAAAATAAAACTTGATTTTCCATGTTTCGCACTTCACTGGATGAGTACTTTGTCTTTCGAAAGAGTTTTATAATGTTGTTGATAGTCCCTCCCGTCTAGCAGAAGAGAAAACTGTCGATTGAGCGGCGAAAGAAGCAAAAAAAAAGATTCAAAAGAAGAAGAAAAAGAAAAAAGGAGAAAAAATAAGAAAATTGCGAAGAAATCACATTTTTCTGGTGTACTGTTTGTCTCCTCCATGATGGCTTTCTTTTTCATCGTTATGAGCAAAAAATATTGATTGACACGTTTGTTTCTTTGGATAGCTCTCATAGATAGCGAAAAAACTCAAAAATTTCATAGAAACTTTTTTTCCCGGCGCATTGTTTCTCTTTTCCATCGAGACGCATCGCTTTT